AGGTCCCTTCCTACCCAAACCACGTGATTCCATGTGATTCCATGAATTTCCTCCTCCTCAGAGGTCATTTATGTCCACATCTGTCCTTCCAAATATAAAAACTGATGCTGCCCTGCACGTATTCCCACAGTTCATTCTCCTGAAGGTGGGGGTGGATCCCACCCAAGGCATTCCCAAAGCCTGCTCTGGCTGCTGCGTCAACACTTCCATCTCCAAAAGGAGTTTATCCCCCCCAAAAAAGCCTTCCATGGCTGCATTCCCCTGTGGTTTATCCTATTCCAGACCAAGGCATCAAGAACTTTTCCTCCTCTGTTGTGGCGATCCCGGGATTTATAGCAAAACCCCTGGGAGTCTGATGCCAAAATTCCCTGACCTGCATCCCATCTCCCACCCCAGCTTTGCCACCAGCTGATCTTCCCCCTTCCAGTGATGCTTCCCAGCCCTCCAAGGTTTCCCCAGTGCCTTATTTTCTGTGCCATTTTTGAGCAAGGTTGGTTTTTGAATGGGCATTTCAGAAAACCCCCACCCTTATCCCTGAATCCAGGATTTCTCCGCCTGAGCTTCCCAGCGTCTCTTCCCTTCGGCCACTTCCTTCTCTGCCACGTTTCCCTGCTCATCCCCACTTTGAAACCCTTCCCATCAGGCACAGAATCAAATCCTTTGGAGAAGCCCAGGCAGGTGAGGTCTCTCATTCGTCGCTCTCCTCTTGGAGAGCCCGGGATTGGAGCCGCTTCCAACTCCCGGAGCCGCTTCCAACTCCCGGAGCCGGGAGCAAACGGGGAGCGTTGTCCGTGCATGCAAAAAAACAGGGAAGCGCTTACAACCTTCCCTTCTCGTTATCAGGCAGGTTTAGGAGATAAAACAGAAGCAAAACAACCCGAGGAAGACCTCACACCGCTGATGGAATGATTATCCCTAATCCTGGCAGGCGGGTGCTGGGAATAACGGCACCGCCACGGAACGTTCCTGAAAACCCTGCAGGGGAGAGGAAGGAAGGCTCCACAGCCAGAAAAATGACACAGCTCACACAGCCACAGAGAGAGAGAGAGAGGAATGTTCCCCCCACAGCCAAGAGGCAATTATCCCTCGGGATCATTAAAGGGCTGCATCCCAGGCTCTCGTCTGGCTGAGCCTCCAGAAATTTCCGGGTGCACCGGACACGGGGTTTGCACCTCAAGAGCTCCTCATCCTCCTGAAGAGGTTTTAAAAAAAACCAAACAAACAAAAAACCCCAAACCTGAAGCAGTATTTAAAGACCTTCAGTGAATTAATGATTAAGGCTGAGAAACAATAAAAGGCTGAGTCAGATCTAAGGCCGTAAACCCTCCGGATCCCTTCGGGAGCGCGGCAAATCCGCAGGCACGGAAAAATTACCTCTGGACACGGTACACGCGAGTCCAGGGGGGGACAAGGGCCAGGATTCGGGCCACCAGATCCACCAGAGTGCTGGGGGGGTAGCTCTTGTATCTGCCAGTTTTCCAGAGCTCGTACAGACCGGTGCCACGGATCACCAGGGTCGGGTAGAGCTTCATCCCGTCGGGGCGGAAAGCGGGATTCTCGAAAAACTCCTGCAGGAAGGGAACAAAAAAAAAACCACCAAAAAACAGGAGTTAAGGCAAAGAGAAACCACATTTTTTTGGAACAAAACTGATTCCCAGCTGGGTTTTGCAAAAGGTAACTGGAAGGGGGTGTTTTAAGAACTCCCGGGTTGGGAGCGTTTATCAGACGGGGTTTGGAAATGAGAGGAGCGGGTTTGGAAAAAAAAGCAAAGAGAAAAAAAAAAAAAAAAGACATGAAGGGAGGGAGAAAAAAAAAAATAAAAAAAGAAATATCCACATGGCAACACCGAGAGAGTCAAATCGGTGCATTTGCTCGTACCTTTCAGCAGGAATTCAACAGATATTGCAGCATTTATTGTCGCAGGCTGTGCTCGGAATTAGAACAATAGCAGCGAGGGTACTTATCTCCCATCGCTCAGCAGGCCACACTTGGAGATTAATCAATGTGTCTGGGCCACATCATTTGAATAGCAATGAAGAACAAACAGATTTTCTTCGGGCGCTGAGGTGTTCTCAGCAGGCCGGGATGAAGCGCAGCTCCTGCTTCGTTCCCGCCACTCCAATCCCGTTTTTTTATTTTCCCCCGTGATGACAATTAAAATTAAATGGCTTGCAAAATAAACAGAAGGATAAACTCAAAAGGGTAGGAGAGACCTCCCCCCACTCCCTCCCTTGAACCAAGCAAGCATTAAATTGAGTGAAGTGATGACACGGGCCAGGGCTCAGGTTGGATGGGACTGTGGAATACTGGATATATCCACGGCTTGATCCCGCTCTCCAGCGTGGAATAAAAACCCACACAGGTTTGTTAAGGTGAGTTAATGGTTGGTGTGATCTCACCAGCTGCTGCTGAAGCGTTTCACCAGTTATCCAGAGTCATGGAATGGTTTGGGGTGGGAAGGGACCTTAGAGCTCATCCAGTTCCAATCCTGACACGTCCTGCTATCCTGGGTTGCTCCAACCCAGCCTTGGACACTCCCAGGGATCCAGGGGCAGCCACAGCTTCCCTGGGAAATCCATCCCAGCCTCTCCCCACCCTGCCAGCCAAGAATTCCTTCCTAATCTCCCACCTCTCTCTGCCCTCTGGCAGTGGGAAGCCGTTCCCCCTTGTCCCTTCAAGCTCATCCACCCCAACCCTGCCACGGGCAGGGGCACCTTCCATGGAATGAGAGGAGATGGAATGAGGAGATGACATCCTGAACTCAAATATTTTCCTTTTTTTGTGCTCTTGCAACAACCTTTTCCATCAGAAAAACCCTGAGCCCCCCTGTCAGAGCTGCCATGGAAAGGTCACACGATTCGGGGTCACCGTGAGCGGTTCAGTCCCAATTTTCACATCCAGTCTTAAAAACTGTGTGACACTGTCACTGCTGTCCAAGAAAACAGACAGGAACTGAAACCAAAATTCAATGTAACACTCCACAAAGCAAATAAAAAAAAAATCAGATTATAATCACAGAATCTCGGAATGGATTGGGTGGGAAGGGACCTTAAAGCTCATCCTGTTCCAACCCCAACATCTCATGTTGTCCCAGGTTGCTCCAAGGGAATCCAGCCTGGCCTTGGACACTCCCAGGGATCCAGGGGCAGCCCCAGCTTCTCTGGGCAACCTGTGCCAGGGCCTCCCCACCCTCATCCGAAACAATTCCTTCCTCACATTTAACCCTAAAATCATTGCCAACTGTGGGCACAGGACACAAAGGACTCCTTTGAGGCCCTCTGGGCTGGCTGGTGCTGCAGCTCCAGGGGCAGGAGATGGGATGGATCCGTCCCCCTGGCCACACTTCCAGCTCCCAACCTCGTGCCAGCTCCGATTCCTGATGGATCCATGACCGAGATGAGTCAAAGCCACCTCCCCAGAGTGAGAGAACCCGACATCTCTTTTGTGGGGCTGGGTGTGCAACCCCACATCGTAGAAGTCAGAGAAGTAATTCCCAGTCCTCCTGCCCCCCTAACAACCCGAATTCCACCTTTTGTGGGTGGCTCATGGTCAATAAAAGCTGCTGTGGAAGAAGGAGTGAGAGGATGGTGCGTGAGGGGACTGCTCAGGCCAAGGGCATTCAAGGAAAGGAAGCGAGGTACAAGAGGCACATCAACCACTCCAGCGGGGGAAAAAAAAGGGTTCCCAGCGAGGGTTGTGAGTTGATATTCCCCACAGTCCTGAGCACAAAAGCCTTGTGTGATTCACCAGGCAAGGGCTCTGAATCCCTCCCTGATTCACGCTGCAGATGGGAGGCGGAAAGGGGAGGGAGGTGAAAACCACCCGGCCCAGGCAAGGTCAGGAGGGACGAGGTGGGGTCCAATCCCACCCTCAATTTCGGCACTTCACGCGATGTCAGCACCTGCAGCCACCTTAATGTGCCACTTCCCGTCCCGGCAACGCCGGCCTTTCGGCAAAAACTCCATGTATTTTCCTATTTATTCCTTCAACTCTGAGTTTAAGCCTTAAACTCAGGTCTGTTTAATGTCCCTGTGGGTGATCTGGGTGAGGGGACGGATCCACCATCAGCACATTTGCAGGGCACACCAAGCTGGGGGAAGTTGTTGATCTGCTGGAAGGCAGGAGGGCTCTGCAGAGGGACCTGGCCAGGCTGGATCCATGGGTTGATTCCAACAGGAAGGACATGGAGGGGCTGGAGCAGGGGCAGGGAAGAGCAGCGAGGCTGGGGAAGGGACTGGAGCACAATTCCCACGAGGAGAGGCTGAGGGAGCTGGGGGGGCTCAGCCTGCAGAGGAGGAGGAGGCTCAGGGGAGACCTCATCCCTCTGCACAACTCCCTGCCAGGAGGGGGGAGCCGGCTGGGATCGGGCTCTGCTCCCAGGAACCAGCAGCAGGACAAGAGGGCTGGGCCTCCAGCTGGGCCAGGGGAGGTTCAGGTGGGATCTGGGGAAGGGATTCTTTCCCTGGAGAGTGCTCAGCCCTTGGAATGGGCTGCCCAGGGATCAGTGCCATGGTGGCTTTGCCTGGTTTTCCGAACCCCTTTTTCCGGCGTCCAACTCGGAACAGAATCTGTAAAAATCCCAATATTTAAAGGCTTCACCTTTTCCCGTTTACCAACAGCTTTGATTAAGTCTCTCACCAAACAAAGGAGGTAGAAAATGCTTCCACAAGTGCCAAGCTTTAGTGGGAATTGCAGCCTCTCTTTTTTTATTTTATTTTTTTTTTTTTTGTTAATTTTTAATTAGACACCTTAAAAGGTGTCCCTGGCTGATAAAAACCTCCCGAGCGCTTTCCTGCCAAAACAAACTCAATCCTGAAAAATATTCCACCACCCACAGCACAGGAGTCAACAGGGAGGCTTTCCATCAGCTCCAGGAAGCTCCCAGTCAGGGATAATCCACCAGACAGTGGAGTCAAGAGGTTAAAAATGACCCAGAGAGAAGGGATCCCTACGAATTCCCAGAATCCCTGGGATCCCTGGAGGACGCAGCACCAGGAATATTCCAACTGGGAGCACATATTCCAACTTCAAAGCTACCAAACCAACTCTCCCTGAAGTTTTCTCCCCCTCCTCGAGGTGAAGACTCAAAAGCATTTAAAAAGGTCTCATATAATTAAGGTAAATTTAAATTCGGGGGTGCGGACAACGGGAAGGGTGGGCGAGATTTAATTATAATTAATCGCTTGATTTTAGAATTAAAGAAAATGTATTAAGAATATTTCTAATCAGAGAGGAAAAAAAAAAATCAAAATTAAAGAAGGGCAACTCAGATCAGCTGAAACTTTAAGGATTTTTGGGTTCCAAACGTGAAATCAGATTTATAATCACAGGATCATGGAATGGGGTGGGAAGGGACCTTAAAGCTCATCCAGTCCCAATCATGCCACGGGCAAGGACACCTTCCATGGAATGAGAGGAGATGGAATGAGGAGGTGACATCCTGAACTCGACATTTCCCTCTTTTGTGCTCTTGCAACAACCTTTTCAGTCAGAAAACCCCTGAGCCCCCCTGGCAGAGCTGCCATGGAAAGGTCAAACTATTTGGAGTCACCGTGAGCAATTCAGTCCCATTTCCAAGGTCAGGGACAGCACAGCTCGGCCAGTATAAAGGGATTGCACCTTTCAATCCGATTTTTCCGGAGCACACCAAGCCCAGAATGGACTGGAAAAAAAAGCCAAAAGCTGCAGGTCCCCAAAAGGAGAAAAATCTGATTTCCTGGGGGTTCCACTCCAGCGTTTTGCAGAGCAAAGACTGAGCTGCCACCCCAAATCCTCTCCCTCTCAGGATGTTCAGCTGCTGGGAGAGACACCGGTCGGAGGGGAAAAGCGGCACTTCTTGGAAGGAATTCACTGAAACCTCGGGGTTTTGTTCGAAACAAAGGTCGAAATCTCTTTTTTAGTGACTGCCCAGC